CTGAGAACTTGTGGTGGTCGATAAAATAGCTTAAGACGTTACAGCGTTTTTGTTTTTTTCTCCATGTGTAATGTGGATACGAACAAGTTTCCAAAACAGGGCAAACCCTCCCTCGCAGTGTAGTGTCTAGTTGCGGAGTACATAATAAATAAAAGAGCAATAATATATTTGAAAGTAAACTAGAATCGTTTGGCTAATATTCAGTAATTGATATTTGCAAATAAAACTCAAACTTACAAATATCCGAAAACAATGAACTCTGTTTCAAAAGTACTTTAAGGCGAAAATAAGCATTGTAAAATTTTTTAAAACTCTTTTAGCTATGAACTTTAACATTTGTGTAGATTAAGCAAATTGAGTGTAATGACTTGAATGTCAGAAACTTCACTTTTTCGTTATTTTTAAGAGCATAGGAAAGGTTGAAATTTTATTGAGGCGTATGTTCTGACATTTTTCAGCAAACACCAGATGAGCTCTTGCAAATATTGCTTTAAACTAGGGTTTAACTATTGCTTTATTTATTAAATATCATGTTCTTCGCACTTAAACCATAAAATTCAGTTCAATCAGCAATACGCAAATATTTAAATGGAATACCTTTAAAATTTCCGATTATAACAGTCTGCGCCTGGACATAAAATGTTGTTTTATGTACAAAACGTGCCCATTGCTCGCTTTGAACTCCCTAGAGTTTGGTTGACAAAAATTTGTTAAAGTTTTAACAATATAAATCAATAATAAAACAAATTCCATACTTTTTGCTGTGGGGAACCGAATATTAGAAATTGTGTCGGACTCACCAATCATCGAGCAATATCCGAACACGCGTGAGCGAACTTATCAGTTTGTTTCCTTTGTACTGAAATTACTAGGCAGATGAGGTCGTTGTGACTTTAATTTGAAGTGAAGAAGGTTAATTATAAAAAAAAAAAAACAATGTCGTGTTCGAAAGTTTTCGTTTTCGTTTTTTGTCGTATTTCTTATCTTTATCTATTTTCAGATACATTATGTAAAAATATTTGGTAAAGAAATATCAAAATTGTTAAATTTTTGGCGACCCCCTACTGCAAGTCTCGCGACCCAACTGGAGTCGCAACCCACAGTTTAAGAAACTGTGCTTTAAACGATCAGATTGCGGTAGAATGAAACTTTGCAAACCTACTACTGACAACTTAAAAGTAGTATTTCAGTAATAATCTGCTTCCCGCGAAATTCCTCAAATAGTTTTACTCTGTAAATAAATACCAACATCCAAACTTTTTAATCTTATTATTAGTATCACTCTGAAGAACTTCATTCAGTAATGGACTGACGGGTTGATAAACGCGGATTTCTTTTCACGCTGGAATGATAAGAAAGAAAGAAAGAAAAAAAAAAAAAAAAAAAAAAAAATCCGAGGTTCAGATTTAAATTACGGCCCAAGGGATCCCACTTTTTTTTTTTTTTTTTTAACATTTGTGGGTTACCTTCTTATTAAAAGATTTCATGTTTTCGCACTTAAACTATAAATCAGTCAAGGCAATATTCGACAAAATCAATTAAGAGGGATACCTTTAAAATTTTCCGATATTAACAGTCTTGCGCCCCTGGACTGCGCCTGAGACATAAAAAAGGTTTTTCTGTACAACGTGCCATTGCTCGCTTTGAATCCTCGAGTTTGTGATCAAAAATTGTTAAGGTTTTACAAAACATTAAAATCAATAATAAAACAAATTCCATACTTCACATTTGGGTTTAGATGCCCATATTCGCAGAAGGATTACGTTATTCAACATTTGATGGCTCTAGGTACCGTTGTTTTATCACAATGCGAGAAACATGCAGATTCTTCATTGTTTAATTTCTTTAAATATAATACAGGGCGATAATATTGGTGGCAACAATTTGAAAAGTAAAACAACGCGTGGTAGTGAATCAATGCAAAACGCCAAAACGAAATTAATAGTCCTTCTGGCCAAAATTCCCCTTTGGACTAAAAACTTCCTTTCGTTATCTGTCTTCAAGAATATTCCTAATATCCTACATCCTAGTGATGCCAGATGCACCTTTGCCGACAAGTGGTTTGTTTTGTGTCGGATTGTTGATAAGGGGAGGTCCCATAACCGGCAGTTTATGTGTGCGTGGAAATATGCCGGGTGATTTAAAGTAGATGTACTTAATTTTTTTATAATTAAAATAAAAAAACTGTGTTAATCATGGATTTCGACTTAGTTTTGGATTATATTGGTCATTATGGAAAATTCCAATGTTGCGTGATGATTCTCGCTGGCGTTGCTCAAATATTTGGAGGAATGCAAATGCATTCAAGCATCTTTTTAACTCCCATGGACCATCCGAAAATAAATTTTCAAAGGTAATACTTTTCAGCGAGCTTTAATGAATAAGTCTTTTCATAAAATTTGTGTCTTAATAAATTCAAAGTCTTAACTATTTCTCTATCGTAAATAATTGAAGGTTTGATGTGAGTACTATCTGAAAATTTTAACGTGATTAACTAACTATTTAATGTAGTTGCTGTCCATTCAGATCTTTTATTTTTAGGCAGTCATACGTATTCATCAATACTGTGGTAGGTGGATATGATAAATTATGAATGCAAGAAATAAAGACATATATCTAATGTAAAACAGTGGATTGCTTATTCTCTGGCCTGAAATAATGATTCGCATTTTCTGGCATTATTAAGAAATCCTTCCTATAAATTTCAGTTCATTCTCTCACTGGAATAAATTGTATGTGCCATGTGTGAATTATTAGATCTTGCAGCAGTGACTTTTATAGTGTTGTATTTACTATAATCTAGATGCAACTAGAAATTTGGTCGAGCTGGTGCCACAACATTTGGAAACGATAATAGAGGCTAACAAGCACCCAACAAAATATTGACACACCCTTATTTATTAAAAGCAACAGAATTTCTTTAGCATATTTTCAATTTTTTTAAGCCAGAATTAACTAATATTTAGTTTAAATACTGCATATGGTTTTATTTTCAAGGGTTTTTGTTTCAGTTTTCAATATTATTGTCAGAAATAAAATTATTCACTGTCTGAAATAAAAATATTTTTGTACTTATTAGAAATTATTTATTTGCTTTGAAAGTTACATTTCTCAATAAAAAATTAGGTATGTTCTCAAATTTTGGGGTCACTGTATGTAATATTTAATGAGAGCATCACTCTCATTAGAATCCATGTAACTATGATTAGAATGAAAGGTAAGCTACATAATTAGTACAGTATTTTACTGTGGTATAAAAATAAAAGGTACTTGCGTGTTAACACAACCATCTTAGTAGAAGTTGCCAAATTTTCAGAATGTGCAAAACTCTGGCAACCATGCACATAGCCACTCTTCAGACAACCATTCTTGTAACAATCCTTCAGTCAATACACTTAGAGCTTAATCGTGACTTTAAACCAAAAGGGCTCTACTCTTATATGCACGCTAAGATCACCAAATGTGGCGATATGTGTTCTGTGCTGGTTTTTGGCACGATTGTGTGTTGTATGGCAACCCGTTTGATGTTGAAAACTCTTTTTGATGTAGTGGTTTAATTGCTCCTTGGTTTGTGTTGTGCATGCTTTGAAATGGCCTATGTTGCAATGAGAGACGTGGTTGCAAGAGGGTCTGGGAGATTGTTTTTAATGGCTGTGCATGATAGAAGTAAGAAAACGCTGAAGCAGTGTATTAAAGAGTGGATTGAGCCTTGTACTACTATTTTTTCAAATGGCTGGAAATCTTAGAAGGATTGAGGAAAAGAAGGTTTAGAACATTTATTTGTGAACCATAGTATGAATTTTGTGGATAGCCAGTCTGGCTTTCATATAAATACCATAGAGAGTATGTGACAGCATGTTAAAGCTATGTTCTGCTGTCCGAAGAAACATTCATTATGGTAAGTGCATTTTATTTTATTGTTTTTATTTTGTAGAATGTGATGTTCATTGCTTTTTTACTATGAATTTCTGTTGGTTGTTGTTTTGATATTTAATATTTTAGTGGATCTGTGTTGTGCGTAAGCCTAGATTGTGCAAGCGTAGAGATTTTTTTTTTCAGTTTAAACAAAATGCTGTGTACATGGTATTCTTTGAAATTTATTGTTGTTAAGTTATTAAAGCGAGGTGTGTGTAGTTCGTAGATTCCTTCGCTGCCTATATTGTGCAATTTGTAGATGTTTTTTTAAGTTAAAACATATCGTTGTGTACATGGATTCTTGCCAAATATTTTTGGCTAAAACTTTACGTTTTTGCTATCAAAATTTTTTGTTTTTGTTTCGGATTTCTAGCTTAAATATTGTCTTCAAAATGGGGTTTTTGCATATGCGAAAACTGCGTTTTTGGAGACATTTTATGCTTAAAGTTTGAAATGTAGACAACAAATTTAGAGAGTAATATGGCACCGTGGAGTTTCTCGTCGCATTTGCTGACCTGAGGACACGTATAAGACTAGTTCCACCAAAAGCATTACATGAGAATACAATACTTTTGGTTTAAAGTCTAATCTTATTGGTATGATTTATAAATGGAGTATAATCCCTATTGTTTTCTGTGTTTCTAGAGTATGGGGAACAGCTTTAGAAAAGAAGATTAATGGTCATATTCTTTGCAGAATTCAAAGAATTTTATTAAGAGTTTTGCATGACAAAGAAAAATAAGCTATTAAGCTTGTTTCACAATTGTGGGGTTTCCATTGATTGATCTATATATTTTGCATGACAAAGATTTAAAAAAAAAAATCAGCAAATTTATATTCACTACCAAGATGTTGTTTGAAGATCGTCCTCACCCTGCTGATCGCTTGCCAGTCCAAACTATAATGTTCTGCCAACAACAATTCTGCTGAAGATAATCTTCCAGTTGTGTCTGATGCGGATTTCTGTTCCTGTAGATTTGGGGCAGTAAAATTAATGATCGAGTTGAACTAGCTTGTGTCATTTCTAGAATTTCCAATGAATGCAGTGTTTTCCAAGCCTAATTTACTGTATTTAAGTGAATCGATAAAGTGGCAATCTAATCATTGTTCGTTAAGTTGTAGCTTTCTTATTGAGACCGATTCTCTTTCATCCTGATATTCTCTTATGAATATTTTCTCTAATAAATCGTCACTTCTCATGTGATTCTTAAAACTCTTAATATTTAAAGATGTTGATGTCATTTTCTCTCATGTACCTAGTCAAACAAGCTGCAAATCTTCAGGTTATAACCCTACAATGACACTGCCCAAATCATTCTTAAAGAAACAGAGTTGGAATAAAACAATTCTGAAGTGGAATGAATTACAGAAATTCTTTCACTGCCTCTCTGGTTGAACTATTTTTTCCTTCTAGTCTTCACACAATCATTTTTTCTGTAATTTTGAAATTAGTAAATATTTAACTGAGCATGGTAATTTCAACTCGTATATGAAGATATTTGGCTGTCTAATACAGATTTGTGTTCCTGGAGCTTTGGGAAAGTACAAAATGTTGAACATTTGTTCTTGTCATCAGCACATTTTTAGCATGGCATTGGAATACCTGAGTATGGGCACATGGAAGCATGAATCATGAATTCCAAATTTGTTTTATTATCCATTTCATATTGTTTTTTAAACTTGAATGAATTTATGATTAAGAAACTCAATGATTTCAGAGTGAGCAATGGCAACACACTGTACAGAAGAAAATAGTTTTATCTCCAGTGCATGAGACTGTCTATTGGAAATGCTAAAGATATGCTGTTTTTTAAACTTTTTAGCCCAAATGCTATCAAAACGTATCTATGTGTAAATGAAAAAATGTCCCTTTGGGTGTAATATAAAATCTGAAAGCTTTATTATTATTATTTTAGTATCTAATGCAGGAGGTATAATAAGATAACTGCTTTGAAAGAGTTATGTAGATTGCATGTAAAAGTGTCAGTCCAAAGGACAGTTTCACTGGGCTGTATCTGAGCTAACTGAGTCAGTTCCATGTGTCGACTAGCTCCGCTGTGCCTGCAGTTCAGATTTTTCAACTTGCAGCCCTGTGGAAAAAAATTGGTTTTGTAGATGGGTCGGCTACTTCATTTGTGTTTGTTAGCTCAGATAAACCCCAGTAGAAACGTCCCTTTATAGTTATATTTCCTCTGAGTTTTTATTTGTGTTTAAAAGATATCATTACAGGAGAGGATTTGTTAACATACATGTAAGTTAAGTGATGAAGTGACATTGCAAGTTACTAGTTCCAAAATGCTGTACAGACATTTTATTGTTTTATTTGACCAATTAATAAAATTATGTATAATTTATATTATTTCTAAATAGTAACTTTTTACAATAATTTATGTGTAAAAAAAGGTATTATGCTTCTTAATATATCCTAATTATAGGTTTAATTATTTTGTAAACCTTCAGTGCATGGTAACATTTAATAAATTGCGTTAGAAAAAAGAATTATATATATTGATATTCCAAGTCATGATTTTTGGGTTGAGTGAGAAGTTCTAAGTTAATATTTTCTCTGGAATTTATTTCTTTTGAATCATTGAGTTCATTCAGCTATCCTAACTTTCTAAAATTAGTTGAAGAGATTGATTTAGCAGTTGCCGATAATTTTAAGATATTTGTACACTGACGTTATATTTTAATCACACTATTATCAAAACGGACGCCGTAACTTTTTTTGGGTTTTCATCCGCAGAGAACCCGTTGGCGCTTCGGGAAAGAACCTGTTTTTTACTCGCCAAGCTCGCGGTTCATCGACGATGAGCCGAGCCGTAAATGTGATATTTTGTAAACGTGATTTTTAGTGCATGTAAATTCAAGTTAGCAGACAAAAACAAGCATTTATGGTAGTAAAAAATTCATTTATAACAGTAAAAATATAAATGTATAATGTATTGAATTAACGTGTTTAAACGTGAGAAACGAAAAATTTGACTTAAATTCCAATTAACACAGAAAACAATATAGTCCTTACATCAGCAGGTTTGCTAATTTTGATGACCATGGTGATGCATCAAATATTCTACATCTTAGTAATCAATATATTTTTTTTATTTCAATTTAATAGCATTGACAATATATTATCTTGTTAAAGTTTTACGCCATATAAAAATTGATTTATTCTCAATAATTTAGATGACATAACCATAATAAAAATAAAGCATTATTTAAAATGCACATGCATATTTTTGCGGCCTACGGAAACAATTATTTTAGAGGTGGAAACCTCAGGTCTTAGAGCTTGTTAATAATTAAGAACACACAACGTGAAACAGCCGTTGTTCATAGCATTCACCCCTCCCGCGTATTTTCTTTTTCATTCGAACCGAGAACTGCCCTATCTACGGAAAATATTTCTATCATTCGTTGTTAAAAATTTAAAAAAAA